TCTTAGGAATCCCCACTTCTATCCTATCGATCTTCATGCCTGTACCTGCACCCGAACCTCACTGTTCTGCTCACAGTAACTGCAATTTTGAGACCAGGAAGAGTGATGGGTCTGGTCATTTCCCTACGAACTTTAGGATCAGTTTGTCTGTGTCTTTAGAAAAGCACCTGGAGTTTTTATAGAAATTGCATCAAATCTGTGAGTGAGGCTGGGTGGTGTTGCCACATCAATCACATTGAGACTTCCAATCCAGGAACACAGAATGCCTTTCCACTTATTTAGCTCATTTCTGATTCTCATTACTATGTTTTGTAATCTTCAGTGTTCAAATCTTGCACTTTCTTGGTTAAATTTATTCCTAAGTATTTTATTTATTTTATTTATTTTTTTTTAAAGAGAGAGTGAGAGAGGAGAGAGAGAGAGAGAGAGAGAGAGAGAGAGAGAGAGAGAGAGAGAATTTTTAATATTTATTTTCTAGTTCTCGGCGGACACAACATCTTTGTTGGTATGTGGTGCTGAGGATCGAACCCGGGCCGCACGCATGCGAGGTGAACGCGCTACCGCTTGAGCCACATCCCCAGCCCCCTAAGTATTTTATTCTCTTGTAAAATGGAGTTGCTTTCTTATTTTCAATTTTGGAGTCTCTACTGCTAGCGTACCAATTACAGCCTTTGTTTTTCTTTTGTGGTACTGATCTTGAACCTAGGGACTCACACATGCTAGGTAAGTGCTMTACCATAGAGCTATACCCCAGCCCCTGCCCCCAGCCCTTTTTAAACTTAATTTTGAGACAGGTTCTCACTAAGTTGCCCAGGCTGGTCTTGAACTTGAGATCCTCCTGTCTTGGCCTCCCAGGTTGCTAGGATCACAGGTGCACCATGTCGCCTAGTTTTTTTTTTTTTTTTTTTTGGCTTCTGCAATCCACTGACTACTTTTCAGAGTTTCTGCTATAGAAAAAATGGAAAATACCCATAATCAAAAAAGAAACATAAATGACAATGGATCACAGTTCTATTGCCTATGTTTGGCTGCCCTGACTCACCGCTACACCTGGCTGCCCCCCTGCTTGATTCCCACTATAAGATATTCTGTCTTGCTGATTTATGAATGTCGGGCTGTCCCTGGGAGTGTGTGGGCTCTGTGGCGGCTGAGGGTCAAGTTCATAGCAGGTCCCCCAGCATCAGGAGGGTGGTGCAAGTGTGCTACAGGGAGTGATTAGAGGGAAGGCTGCCTGAGGGCCTCCAACTACTCAGGCCTCACAAGTGACCTTCGAGGCAGGGCCTTACTGTTCTAGTCCCACAGGTTGGACACTGAGACACCTGTCTTCCAGCGACCAGCTTCTCCCAGCTGTGGCATGGCTCACTCTGTGTTCACCTGAGCCCCAGGCTGAGCCAGAGGCCTTCCCACTCAGGGCTTTTAGGGGCTTCTGCACAAACAGGCTTCCACTGGGGGGCAGAGAGAACTGGGGTGTGAGACAGCTCATCAAGTTCTGTCCCTAGCTCCATGGCTCCCACCCTGCTGTTTTGTTTTGCCATGCCGAGGCTGCAACCCAGGGCCTTGCGTGTGCAAGGAAAGTGCTCTGCCATGGAACCACGCCACACCCGCCCTCTTCTAAGAGGATACTATAACGTGTTCTGGATACTATAACGTGTCTCCCCCAGGAGAAAGGTGAGCCCACATCTGGCTCAAGTCTCAGCCCAGGTTTGCAAGGCCACCTTCATTTTCACCTGGACAGTGGTTGTAACAGTCCCTACCTTGGAGGACTGCTCAGGGATTCAGCAAACTGACAGTGCCTGGCACCCAGAAGCTAGTCCTTAATTATATACATAGAAACCTCTGCTCCCTGAGCCCTCCAGTTTTCCATAGCTCAGGCTTTGCTTGATGGATAGAAATTTATTACTAATTACTATTATGAGTGATCAGTTTCCTGGGGCAAGGCTCATAACTGAACTTTCAAGAAACTGAGGTATAAACTGTAATGTGTTTATAAACTGCCATGTGTCTCAAGAGGCACTGTATATGAAGCTGGGGGAGTCAGGTGAGGGCCTGGGCCTTGTACTGGCCAAAGCATGGCTATGTGGCCTCCAGGAGGATCTCAACAGCAGGAGGACAGGGTGGTGTCTTAGCTGGTGGAGGTCTGGCTGCAGTGAAGTCTACAGATAGAGCCCTGAGGCACAACCATCAACCAAGGGCTGTGCTCGCCTGGAGCYGTCATGGAGGTGGAGGGGAGACAGTATATACTCCCAGGGGAGGGGTGAGTGACATAGAAGGAGGGGATGTCACAAGTCTGGCTTGGGCGCATGGCCCAATCCCTTCCCAGAGCTGCCCTTTGACAGAGGAAGAAACCAGGCTGCGGAGGTTAAGTGGCTTCACTTGGGGCATTTGTCCCTTTAAAGTGGCCCTGGAGGCCTGACTTCAAGCCTGTGGTGGTGGAACTCCAAGAACTGGAGCCTGGGAAAGAAGGAGGGTCATGGCTGCAGAGGCCACCACACTAGCCCAGGTATCAGCACTGGGCCTAGATGCTCAGATGAATTTCTGAACCACCCCCTTACAGATGTGGCCTCCTGGGGACTGCTGGCCTCAGGAAAGGACCTGAGCCACCCAGGTCACGCGTGAATGGGAGGCATCGGAAGGGAGAGCCAGGCCCTATGGAGGAGAGGGGTCCTGCCCTACTGCTGGGGGTTTCTGTCAATGGGAGGCCTAGGATGGCATCAGGGTTGTTGGTGTTTGGACAGCAGCCTTGACATCCTGGCTGGTCAGAGTGGCCTACCCTGTACCCTTTGCCCTTTACCCAAGCCCTAGGAGGGTAAGGCCAGGTTCAGGACCTATTTGTTTTAGCTCTGGGGGAATGGCACTGGCATCTCTTAAAGTGCTATGACAGCCTGTCCTAGTGACTAAAGAGCCCTGAGAGTCCCTTCTACAGCAGGAAGAGGGTAGCTGCCAAGCAGGTTGGGATAGAAGCATGTACTTCTGCAAGGCATTACATCAGGCTGGGGCACCAGGGATGATGGTTCTAAGTGACTTGCCTAGGGTCCCTTTTTCCCAACTCTCCTGCTTCCAGGATGTTCTCCCTCCACTCTGCAAACTAAAAAGGCAAAACCCCCCTCACTGGCCTCCCCCTTGCACACAGTGCCTCCCACCTCGCTGAGAAGCTCCAGAGCTCCCAGCACAGGGAGGAAGGGCTGGGAGTTTTCTCCACAGAAGGGTTTTCAAGGCCTGAGGCTTTAGAGTCTCAGCTCTCCTGCACACTGGCTCTGTGATCTGGGGTTAAGTCCCTTCACCAGCTTGAGCCTCCGTTTCCTTACCTGCAAGCCTGGGACAGAACGCCTCGCCTGCCTCTGGATGCGTGGGAGAGCACGGCTCAGTGCGCTAGCGCGCTTCAGTATTGTGAAGATCTATTTCCTCGGCTAAACTCCTGCTCAACCTGAACCAAACTCAGTGACCCCAAGGGCGTGGGGTGGGTCCTGCCCACACCAGGAAACGCGAACCCTGCAGGTGGCAGGCARAGGACCTCGAGGGAAAGCTTTTGTTTTTGACGTTTTGTATTAGGGTTTGACATACGTAACATGTAYCTTCAGGTACAGCTGGATAAAAACTGACTTACATATATGCCCGAGTAATCTTCACCCAGAACAAGTTTCGAAACCTGTGGGTGAACTGAGCCTTTCAAAACTCGGAGAAGGAGCTAGCAGTCCTTGTTTTCTTCTCGGTGGCCCTGTCCCGGAATCTTAGGCTGAGACTTCTCTCGCGCCTGTCTCTCGGTGGAGAGATGGGGAAACTGAGGCTCAAGAAAGAAGGTCCCCGGACAGAGCCAGACCCTCCCGTGCTCCTCCCCAGCGAGGACTTGGCGCCCTTTCCGCCGCCAGCGAACTCGGGTCGGGGCCCCCGCCCCGCCGCCGGGACTTTGCCCGCGCAGCGCGCGGAGTGGAGGCGAGGGCGCGGCCGAGCGCGGCTCCTCCCCCGCAGGCCCGCCCGCCCGCGCGCCCCCGCCGGGCTAATTAGGAGCGCGGTTTGTTTACAAACACGGGCTGCCGGCAGGTGCGCGCCGGCCGCCTGAGCGCGGCTGGGGTTCGAGGGCAGCCTTTGCGGGCCCTAGGGCGGGGCGGGGCCGCGGGGCTGCTGCGCTCCCGCCTTTTCCACACCTCCCTGGGGCGCCTGGAAATCCGCCCACGGGCACACGTCCTCTGCGCGCGGACTGGAGGGCGGCGCGGGCCCGTGCGGGGGAGGCCCCAGAGGGTCCCCSTGCAGCCGCCAGGTCGGGGCGGGCGGGCGCCGAGCCCCGCCCCGCGCGCCCCCCGGGCCGGGCCCGCTCGCGGCCGGGTCGGCGGGGCGGGCGGGGGCGCGCGGGGCGGGGCGGCGCCGGCGGGGCCGGGACATGTAGTCCGCGCGCCTCGGCCTCCCCTGGGCGGCCCCGGCGCGGGCCCGGGCGCGGACTACGACTCCCGCCAGGCGCCGCGGCGCAGCGCATGAGCCCTGCTCGGCTCCGGCGCGTCTATTATGCTGCCGGGGCCGGCGAGCCAAAGAGGAGCCGGCCGCGCGGGCCGGGAGGGGACGGCTCCGGAGCCGCCGAGGCCAAGTACGCCTTTTTCTTGATTCCTTGCGCGCGCGGGGCGGCGGGCGGCGGCGGCGGCGGCGGTGGTCCAGGCTAGGCAGCGCGTCCCCGAGCGCCCCGCTCAGGCCGTTGGCGCGTCCGGGGAGCCCGGCGCCCGGGGCCGCCGCCGCCGCCGCCTTTGTGCGCGGCCACGAAGCAACAAAGCGCGGCGGCCGCCCGGGGTCGCGGCGGAGGCGCGGGTCCCGCTCCCCTCCGCCCTGCGCCGCGSCGCTCCGCTCCGGCCGCCTCTGCCCGGGGCTCGGGGGCGTCGCCGCGGCCGAGGCGCGCATCCCGGACTTGGCACAGCCCGCGCGCCCCGCGCCAGCCCGGCCTCCGCGCGCCCTCCCTCGCGGAAGGGATTTTTTTCCCTTTCCTCTGCCCGCCATCTTCGGAAGGGGGGAACCCGGGCGGACGCGGCGGGGGAAGGTGTGTGCGGCTGCTCGGGCCGCAGCAGTGCGCTCCGGCACCAGTTCGCCCGTGCCCGACTGGGGACCTTAGTGGCCAGGGCGGGGGGCCGGGCCTGGTCTCTGCGCGGCCGCCCAGAGGAGCGGCGGCCAGGCCTTGGGGGCGACCTCCTCWCAGAGTTGTGGGCCCGGAGTCGACTTCGCTCCCCTACCAGTTGCTGGATTACTTTAGCCAGGCCAGGAGAAGACCGAGTTCCCGATTTGAAATCAGCCTGAAGAGCTCTTAATCCGGCCCAGGTCGAGTTGGATCGGAGGGGTGGGGGCGCTTCCCTTCTTCCTACTTGGGGTGGGCACCGGCGTGGCAACACGGTGCAAGCCCATCTGCGGAGTAGTGCGCACCAAACCTTCTCCTACGTGGGCTTTGGAGGCTCCCTGTGAATAAAGCTGGGGGCCTGGGGACGTCCTTTCTCCACCGCTTGCGGTGTCCGGGGCASGGCCGCAGTGAGGGCCAGGGGCAGCGCGCTTGGTTCGCCAGGACCCACTTGAAGCGGACCAGTGGTCCACTGTGAGTTCCCGCTGTTGTACCCAATCCCGAAGTGTGTGCGGTCCAGAATTTTGGTTGAGATTCTGCTCAGAAATGCACAGTAGGTGTCCCCCGCCCCTCTAAGTTAAACTTATTGTCTGCAGAAGTTAATGGTAATGGGGGGGGGGSATGCATTTCTAGACCCGCCAACAGGGCTGGACGCGTAGAAACCTAAGCTAGGGAGTCTCCCGGGTTCTCTTTGTGCCCTGCTCTCCTCCCAGGAGGAGGTAAGTTTTCTTCCCCTGCTGTTTCAGACCTTTTCTTACTCTTTCCTTTACTATGGAAATTCTTCCTGAGTCTATGCCGCGTTAGCATTTTGAGTGAGTTTTTTTTTTTTTTTTTACTGGCATTGCAGGGGGTCTAGGAAAGGGCGGGCCTCAGGTTAGGGACCTTCTAGGTGGGGGGGGGGCAGGCTGCCTTTCTTCCCCAGGGGCCCCAATGAGGCTTTTCATTTGCAAATAAAGGTCTGTTTGCCTTATGTCGGGCCTTGATGTGTGCTGGTGGTTACAGATCAGGAGAGATAAGGCACAGCCCAGACGGTGTCCGGAGGTGGGGGCATTTTTGACCTTCCTGGTAATGGCAGGGCACTGAGTGTCTGCAGAGACAGTCCAAGCAGCTGCAGAGATCTGGTGCTTGCCCTGTCACTGAGAAGTTCAGGGAGGAGGGATTTGAAAAGCTTTCTTAGGGTAGACGGTAAGCACCATTTTGACTTTTGGTTTTAGAAAGTAGAGCGATTGCTTTCCTTCAGCAGTCCTGCGCTTGCTTTGGAAGTGAGATTTGAATAGAGGACAGATTTGTAAAACTTCTCCCTTGCTAGACTCCAGGCAGTCTTCCACAGAAAGTGAAAGTGGGGGAGTGTCTCAAGGGAAGGCCAAGGCCCCTTGGCAGGGGCTCCTGCCTGCCTGAAGCCCTGTGTCCTGGGCCTCCCAGGGTTGCCTTGTCTTTCTCCTGGTTTACCGTGGCAGAGTTCTCCTTGAGAGCTGGGGGCCTAGACCCTTCCAAGCGGAGTGATTGATGGTCAGCCCATCAGGTACATTTGCCCTGGGGATATGTCAGAAACCAGTTGCCCTCCCCAAGTCCCTGCAGCTGGGGGAGCTTGCCTTGACTGCTCTGCAAGTCTTGATTTTGGAAACTATGAAGGTATTTGGCTCAGTGGTGAGGCTGGTCAGCAGTGGAGCCCTCTTGCCCTCTGGACTGGTCATTGGTATAGGCAGACTTCTCATACCTGCAGAGGAAGCCAGTATCTAGTTGTGTCTGATCCTTGCTTCAAATGAGAAACTGTGGCAGCCAGCAGCATTCCATCCCCTAAGAAAGTCTCTGGGTTTTGTGGGGTTCTGCTGACCTGGGTGAGCCTGGGGCTCTGCCCCTTGCTGGAGCACAGGAGATCAGGCCACTGCTGCCACACGTAGGTCCCCAAGGCTGGAGCATATATCCTCAGCATCCTCTTTTCTGTGAAACCCGAGCAGCCAAGGAGTCCTTGTGCTCTGCTGCCTGGGGTGGTGGGGCTCTTATCAAAGGAGGCATCCCATTTGGATCATGTATGTGTTGGTGGCTTTGAGTGTGAGTCTTTCAGCCAGTTCAGGTCTGAATTCACAGTGGAGCTGGGAGCCCCCCCCCCCCGTGTGTGTGTGTGTGTGTGTGTGTGTGTGTGTGTGTGTAGCTGTTGGCTGTCTCTGGCCAGTGTCTGTCTCATGAGGGATTCAGTTCTTAGGTACTTCCTTGGCAGGACCCTGTAGCCTGGAATTGGAGGTGCATTTTGGAGAAGGTTCTCCTTTCCTCAGAAGCCTCAAAGTCCTGCAGAATCCACAGAAGCTAATGAGCTGTTGAGAGGGCACTTCAGCTTCTTGGGATGTGTCATATGAGTGCAGTAACATCTAGGTGTCCCTGGTCAGGTGTCTCCTAGTGTGTTTGGAAGTTGGGCATGACAATGAATGTCTCAGGCATCTCCATATCCATTGGATTCCCAGCGTGATCTGCAGAGGAGGGACCTGTGGAATTGGAATCTGGGGCAGAGGGGACCTCCATGTCACAAGGAGCTTGGAGTCTATCGCTGGGAGCTCTGGGTCCTGGGGGCAGGATGTCCTCAGCTTTTTCACAAGGACTGAGAGAGGTCTGGTGTCTACATTTCTACCTGCAACGYCCACCTGCACATGAAGGCTGCTGCCCTCGTGGTGGTCACTGTGTGTGTCTGCTGGCACGGCAGAAGGAAGAGAAGTGAGCTGGGCAGTGCAGTGGGTTCCCTTCCTGGACAGTGCTGCCTGACCATCTGGGGCAGACCTAGGGGATATAGTGTGGCATGCAAAGGGTCCGGGCCTGGTTGTCTTCCAGTCAGGAGCCGGGTGCTGCCTGGCCCCAAGATGCTCACCACCTACTTGCACCACATGACGGGGCCCTTGATTGTGCCCGCCCCACACTAGGGTGGGTGTGGACCACTGTGACTTCGGGAGCTGCGGACTTGAAATGAGGCATGTACCTTTGCTGGAGTTCCTAGCTCCGCCTCAGTTTGGCCTGCACCCTGTCTTGAGGGGTGGCTAGATTGAGGGCAGGGCAGGCCGGCTGCCCCTGAGTATCAGAGCAGGGCAAGGTGGCAGTCCTGAGCTCCTGGCCCTTCTACCACTGCTATTCTTCTTGTTCCCAAGTCCTCCCAGCCTGTAACTTCAGTCTGCCTCACTTCCCATCTGTTAAATGGGATGGTGGAGCTGGCTCCTTCTTAGGGCCATTGCCCAGGGCCAGCAGGCGGGGAGGGCTGGGGTGGGGGTTGCTCTTGAGCAAACAGCTGGTGTGCATGGCACCTCCCCTGCTCTGGCCAGCACCTGCATCAGGTGCTGGTGGGAAGGTGTTCAGGTGAGTAGTTCTGAGCCGAGGGTGGGCAGCATGGGATCTCCCAGCAGTCCTGGCGGCTGATCTTGCTGGAGTCGGTTGAGGGGCAGGTTAGAGAGGCAGGGCCTGCACCCAGCCAAGCAGGGTCCTTTCCTAGCTTTCTTTTACTGTATGAGTGGGGCTCCTCAGGCCACCCTAGAGGGGAGTGATTATTCTTTGATCCCACAGACCAGGGTGCTGGGTAGACTCCAGCCTTGCTCCAGAAAGTGCCKAGTGAGGGGAGTGTTGGTCCATCTGAGCCTCAGTGCTCACCAYGCCACTGCAGTGTTGCTGGGCCACCTGACTAGGGACAGTGCCCCCTTCCCTCTCCAGGGCGAGTGTCTTCCTCTGTGTCCTTCTGGGGAGAATATCCTTCTGGGCTGTGGCTCTGTGGTCACCCCCACCCATGCAGGGGCCCTTGAGTGCAGCAGGTGGCCGGGTGCATGGCCACTGAGCTCTCCAGAGGGACGGCCCTGGGCCTGGCCTGCTGGGCCCCTGGCCAGGAGTCCTGGTTTCTCAGCACGAGTGTGAAGGGACTCAAGTGTAAGGTGTCCGCCTGTCCTTGATGTTGTGGCTATGGTGGGGGGTCAGGGTCTGTGTTGAGGTGGACGTCCCTGCAGCAAAGGAACCTTCAAAGGCTGGCTCCCAGGTGGGCTGCTGCAGCCTGAGGAAAAAACCTGGATTCAGAAAGTGGGGGGGGGGTTGGAGGAGAAGCAGGGACTGCAGCTGCTGCCTGGGGAGCGCCTGCCTGCCTGGCCGTGGGACAGCCCCGTGGGTCCAGTGGAGCAGGGCACATAGGATGGGGCCAGGGCTGCCAGACAGGGCTGGGCAGCTGTTGCAGGGCAGGTGTGATATCGACCCGACAAGCATGGGGTGCTGGCCAGGGGCGCCTAGGCAGCAAGGGCCCTGCGCCTCTTACATGGGAGAGTCTGTCCTGGATAGGGAGGCCCCGCCCATGCTGACTGCCAGCCCTGGGGCCCCCTGGAGGCCCCTGGCCCTGGTTCCTGCCCTGGCTTGTGGAAGCAGTTGGCTCCGTCTGTCACTGAAGCTGGCCCTCCCTTATGGATCCAGTTTCCCGCAGCCTGAGGGCTGGCCCCAGGGTGGCCGCTCCAGGGGCACTCATTCTATCTGCCAGGGCAGAAGGCAGCAGTGCCTGTAGCATGGCTGTGGAATTCCCCGGAGATGGCATGGGCCTGGCGTCCTGGCTGGGTCGGCCTCACCCTTGGCTCTGCCCACCCTGAGCCCCCCTTCCTCACCTGGAACCTCATGGGTGCCACACTAGGATGGAGCAGCAAGGACACTGGGCTTTGTACAGCTGCACCGGCCACTCGGGGTACAGGAAGCCATCAGTCCCCAGGGCTGCCCCAGGGGTGTGAGAGATACTGTGACAGGAGTCCTCAGGGGAATGACGACCCCAGGTAGATGGAGAGAGCGGGCCACCCCCCCATTGGAGGAGCTGGCCTCCTTGAAGGCTGTTTTGTGGCCAGTGGGGACAGTGGATCTGAGCAATAGGGGAGACTAGGGCCACTGAGATCCAGAGGAACCACCCCGCCCAGCTTCCTTCCCACTCTGCTGCCCATGCAGCCTGTCCTTCTGGAGCTCTGACTGCTGCCCTCTGGGGTGTGTGCACCCCTGGAGTGACTGGGGACACGTGCCCCTCCTCTGCACCCATTGTCACATCCACCCRTTCCTGAACACGCCCAGAGCTGTGTCTCTGCAGCTCCTCCAGTGCCCCAGGTGGGAGCCCCATGAGCATGCCCCCTGCCTGGCCCTGTAGGGTCCCTGCTCGCCAACCCCCACATGGCTCCTGCAGCCTTCCCATCTGTCTGCTGAAACACCCCAAAAGGGTCCCTGC